GTAATAAGAGGCTGGAGATGTAAATTGCCACTGATATAATCTGAGTAATAGAAACGTTTTCTCAGGATATTGATTTAGTTGGGGCAAATTTGGTATCAAGAAATGAAGATTATAATATAAAATAAGACTTTGTGGTCCTAAAACAAGGTCTTTCTGCCCATGCTTTGTCTTCCTGGTCCTTTGTGCTGGCGTCTGCCTCGTAAGGGGTTATGCTCAGACTCTCTCCCATGCTCCGTGCTGGTACAGTGCTGGGTGAAGGAAGATTTTGCTTCCTTCACTATGATGCCACCCAATGTGCTGACTGTGTTGTTGCAGGATTTGATGTTCTGGAGAGAGAAGGGGTAAGCCTGGGCTTGTGCCAGACAGGTTGCTGCTGCCTGGTGCCGTGCCAGACTCACCTAGCTCCAAAGAACACACCTCATTCCTCCCGTCCCTTTTAACCTGCATTGTCAAGTCTCCGTGGATTTATGGAGCATAAACCTGGGAACCAGAAACCAGCCCCTCACTACCTGGCTCCACTCCCAAAGTGGAGTTTTCACTTGATTCAGATTGTTATTTTATTTCCAGTCTCTGAAGGGCCACCTGGAATGGCAAGAACCGGCTTCATTGGTGCACGCCTGCACTGGCAGCTGTTCTTGTTCCCTGGACATGTAGCCCTAGAGTTAGTTTTCCACCATTTCCTCCTTTCCCTTCCCACCATGTTACCTACCTGCCTTCTTTGAAACCCGATTTCTTCCTATTATTACTGAAAGCCTCACCAAAAAGGGCAATATAAAATAGTATTGCCTGTAGGATTGATCCGACTAATGACAAATACATTACTGAAGGAAATAAATTACAGTGAAAGCTTAAATCATTTACCAACATCCCGTAAATGGTACCTCTCTGCCAGATACTTGAGTTGCTTCTAGTGAATCCCTGGCTCATTAACAAGGGGCTCACTAATGTTAAAAGTCCAAAAGTCATTTAAAAGGCAAATTGCACCTCTACTGTGGACTTGAAAAATAAAAGGCCATCATTGCCAAAAGCCATGATTTAAAAGACCAGAGATATCGCCAAATTGAGCCACCACTACAATGTGACAAAAGAACATGTCCCACCTTGCCTTGCCAGCTGGCTCAGGTAACTCTCCAGGTCACTGACGCCGTGGCTGGTGAAGTAACTGTAATACTGGAAAACAGTGACGACTTCCGAGGACAGGCTGGAGGAAAGCAGAGGCTCAGCCTGGTCCAGAATTTGGGACACCAGGGTTCGAAACACTATTCGGAAGGGAAAGACACAAAGCAGCTTTAGATATATGACCATTCATTCATTCAATAACTTTTATTTTTATTTTTATTTGAGAGACAGGGTCTCACTTTGTTGCCCAGGTTGGTCTCAAACTCCTGGGCTCAAGCAGTCCTCCTGCCTCAGCTTCCCAAGTAGATGGAATTGCAGGCATGAGCCATCACATCTGGCTCAATAAGTTATTTATCTTTTATTGTGGTTGAAGATACAGTGAAGTAGGTAAAGTAAGCAGTTGGATGGTTTTTGCACATGTGCACACCTGTGTAACTGCCATTTAGATCAAGATATGGAAGACGGCCCGCATTCCATAAGGTTTCCTTGTGCCCCTTCCCAGTCCATAACCACCCTTCCCTTCCCTTATATATAACATACAAAACGAATAAATATTATATATGTGTGTGTAGAAGAGAGATAAAAAGGAAGAGGAAGAGACAAGTGAGAGACGAAAAGAGAAGGAAGGAAGGAAAGAAGGAAGGAAAAATGAAGGGAAGAGAAAGGAAGGGAAGGGCACAAATCGGCAACTAACAATCTGACATCTATCAACATAAATTAGTTTCACCTGTTCTTGAAC